TTAGGCTAACTTTAGCTAACGTTAGCTAGAGATGTTAAAGATAACTTTATATTTCTTTCCAGCAAAGTGACAATATGTTGCCTCAAACACAATGTTGACTTACCTTAGAACAGATGTAGACATCATTGTTAATCTTATTCACGTTGAGTTGATGTTGTGGTCTAACGTTACCACACAACTTTATCCAAAGGAGACACTTTTCTCGCTTGAGATGTGGTTTAAAGTGTAAAAAATACACCTGGTCGCCCAGCCTCTCAGGATACCTTGTGTCAGAGTTGCATGTACCCCATGCACACCGTTTGACCATTTTTAAACTTCAAATCTCAGAAAAAGCTCATGAAACCGAACAAACTGACTTTCTGTAATGCATTTCAATGGACGTCCAGGCAGAGAATGTCCCAGTGTAGAGACGTATGGCCTAATATAATACTGCAAATGGAAATAAAGTTGTTTTTTTTGCTAATGTGATCCTGACTGAATTAGCTTCAAAGCCTGGTGCACTTTCTGAGGGGTCTTTGTTACGCCCACAGCAACACAGCCTCTGATTTGTGAACAGACTCAGCCCAATCTTGGGATACCTTGTGCCCTCAGTAAGCTTTGGCGAATGGCGAAGCATGGACAGAAGACATCCATTATTGGATTTATTAGGTTTATAAAGTCTCAACAAAACACTGCTGTCCCATGATGATTATATTCAGCTTCAGTGGCTGCCATTAGAGATGGATGCTGAAATAGCCTGAGCTGGTACTGATTGGGGAGAAGGCAAATATGAGTGAACTGGATGGTCTCTCATGTTTTACCTCTGAGGTAAACCACTGAGTTCAGACTCAGATTCAAGTATATGGCAGGGTTTTGTGTTTAATCCCTTCATCTGTTCTGCACCTTGAGATCACTCAGCTGTAAATATCACACGGTTATTTGATTTCATTATAGGTTTATGTTCTAAGAGATCCAACCAAGATCTGTCTTGTTTTTGGTCGCAGCATCATTAAGGACAGATTTCTTGTATCCTCTTTGTTGAAAATTGTTTTTTGTGATCCTAATTTTTCTTTCAAAATCATCAGTTTTCTAGCAAACATGTTTTAATCTGCAAAACTGACTAAAGAAAGACTAATTAAGGGTAAAGAATGATCAGAATCTGTCTTTAGTTAAGTACTTATTGCATTTCAAACATGCTTTTGCGAATGTCCTGGAGCATCACTTGCAGACGCAGGAGAATACCTGGCATGTAAGATGTGAAAGTCCTCTGACAAAGCAGCGATATGTGACGACTTGGGATGAGACGTGTTGCAGTGACACACAAGAGGGGAAAGAAACAAAACATGAAATTAAACATTTTACATCTGTGCTCTCCCATGAATAAAAAAAGGCAGTCTGTGTGTTACTTGGCAAAACAAACTGAAAACCAACTGTGAAAAACACGATGAAATGGGATGGATGCAGGATGAACAACAGATGAACTGACAAGGAACAAAGGGAAACACACAGGTATATATACACAGAGAACTAATCACAAGAACGAAACACTTTTTCAAAAGTGGGCCCCAAATCCAAGATGAGTGGCCCTGCAAATATAATACAATTCATCATATTTCCACGTGTACTTGTATCTAATGTTAAGACCTTATTTTCTTACTTTGAAAAGCAGAGGTTGTCACATGTGTTTTGGGCCAAGAAAATAACCTCCAATGAATGATTAGAGAAAAGTCGAATCAAACACTGAAGAAAAGACTGCAGGGTATTAAATCATCAGATCAAATCAAAAGTGAGGTTTTTTTTCATCATTTATTCATTCAGATTTGATTCTACTTTAATCAAATATCGGTCAAATTGTGTGCAGAGCTGAAACAGTGTGAACACTATGTGGCTGTCAGCTCTCAGTTTTCCAGTCAAATCCAGTTTATGTAATTTAAAGACAGCTCAGTCTGCAGAAATATTTAAATACTCCATTTTGAAAAATGCCAATGTTCATTTTTTCCTCGCCAAAATTTAGCCAAATTAAGAGTGTTATTTGTCCCCCGTTATGACAGGATAGTCGAACATGGTTGGAACCAATGGATGCCTCAGGTCCTCTAGTTTAATATGATACCTGCGCTTCTACTGTAGCTTCAAAACTGATCCTGATACTGTAGGTTTAAAGGCCCTGACACACCAAGCCGACGGTCGGCCGTCGACCAAAGTCAGGCCGTCGTGAGCGTCTGTCGGCCTAGTTTTTGCAGTGTGTCCCACACCGTCGGCGGCTTTTCGGCCAATTGCGCATGTTGAATCTGTGGTGGGGGTGGCACGGTGGTGTGGTGGTTAGCACTGTCGCCTCACAGCAAGAGGGTTGCTGGTTCGATCCCGGGTGTGGGAGCCCTTCTGTGCGGAGTTTGCATGTTCTCCCCGTGTCAGCGTGGGTTCTCTCCAGGTGCTCCAGCTTCCTCCCACAGTCCAAAGACATGCAGGTTAATTGATAACTCTAAATTGTCCATAGGTGTGAATGTGAGTGTGAATGGTTGTCTGTCTCTATGTGTCAGCCCTGTGATAGTCTGGTGACCTGTCCAGGGTGAACCCTGCCTCTCACCCAGTGTCAGCTGGGATAGGCTCCAGCCCCCCCGCAACCCTCAAGAGGATGAAGCGGTTAGAAGATGAATGAATGAATGAATCTGCGGTGGAGCTTGTCGATGAGAGAGATCACTCTGATTGGCTGTTCAGGTTTTATTTCCTCGCCCCTGTAGCGAGTGAATCTGCCTGTAGTGAAACCGGGGCTAACCGGTGCTTCCTCCTCAGGCTCCACTTCACTCAGCTGCCCCACAGACCCGCTGCTTCTTCACACTTTAACCTGAATAACAAACCGGAGCTAGCTGGGAGCGGCTAGCGGAGCGTTAGCCGCAGCATGACCGGAGGGAAGCACAGCCAGTTAGCCTCCGCTAGTCTCTGAGCTAGCCCCGGCTCTCCGTTTGGATCCGACCGGAGCACCGAGCCCTGGTTTGTTATTCAGGTTAAAGTGGGAAGAAGCAGCGGGTTTATCGGGCAGCTGAGTGAAGTGGAGCCTGAGGAGGAAACACCGGGACCGTCTGGATGTAATAGTCCGTGGAGGTGCTGCGGTGCTCGGCTGCACAGATAGGAAACCCCTCGGCTGACAGGATGTACCACTCTCTCACTCCGCTCTCTCTCACGCAGGCGCAGAACGTACGTGCTACTTGGCCGTCGGATGTAGTCCGTGTAGTGTGTTCAAATGCAACTGACACAGGGCGACGTGAGGCGACGTAGACTACGCAACAGTTGGCTTTCGTCGCCACTAGTTCTTTGATGTCATTTTGGTGTGTCTACACCTTTATTCACTAACATCAGTCTTCCTCACTCCTCACCTTCAGCTCTGCCTGTCAGACCTGCTTCTTCTTCACTTTCTTTGTCAGATATTTGTCCATCACCTCTCTGCTCCTTTCATTTTCTCATTCTCTCTGTACTCCGCCTCCCATGTTAGTTACACTATGTCAGATGGACCGCAGCACCTGCAGGTAGCGATGGCCAAATGAAGCCTTATGAAGCATTTTCTTTATTTTCTGAGCCCACTAGATGGCACTTTTTGTTCAACAAAAGGTTGAGCCTCTCTCTTTAAACCATGAGCACCATCTAGTGGGCTCAGAAAATAAAGAAAATGCTTCATGAGGCTTCATTTGGCCATCACTACCTGCAGGAGGGGCTGAGAGTATCAGATGGCATGTTAAAATGTGTTTTCATGATAAGATTACATTAATTTATGATGTAAATACATATGATTAGATCCCATATCCCATTGTACTCACTCCACTTCAGTCCTCTACTCTGCATCGTCTGTGTAGCTGCCTGCATGTTGCTGATTGTTTCTGTTTTTATGCTGTATTGTGATGTGTTTTTGTTGCATAACAGGAACCTGCTGAAAACCAGTTCTGATCTGAGTCAGGCCAGTTTAACCTGTAACACACAATTTAACTTTTAATTCCTTTCCTGTATGAATAAATAAATGAAATGAAAACTTTTAATGTCAGTGATTGAAGTCAGTGAGTAAATTGTTGTAGCTGATCCCATTTAAGGTTCAACTATTGACCTTTCCATGCCCCCCACCCCCACTTGGCCTTGGGCCGGGGTCATCTGTACCCTTTGAGCCCCCTGATGACAGTTTGACTGTAGTAGCAGAAGTAGAATTGGTGGAAGGACAGCCTGAGGCTCTCCTGCTGTATCAACGACTGCCTCTAGGTGTCTCTGTAAATCAAATACCTCTGCAGCCTCTCTTTATTGTCTCCTCCTCTGAAGTTAATTCAATTCAAGCTGTTTCCTTTTCAGAAAAGCGCATGACGGTCCTGTGATTTTTATCAGCCGAGCTGTTGCCAATGTGAGTATGAAACCCCAGCTGAACTTTGCTGAGACAGTCTGAAGCAAAATGCATCCAGTGCGTTGGTTCCTTGCGCTTCTCCTGACAGCTGGCACCCTGGAGCTCTGTAGCGGCGGACCTCTCCATGCCCAGTGCAAAGTAGAATGGTATGCTTTATTTCTTTTGTACATACTTTAGTAGAAGAATTCAGTTTTCACATTGCATATTTCTGCACACATCTCAAGTGTCTGTCATATAATGATTTATCAAATTGCATCTGCAAACACATGGTCATTTATTAAACATACAAAGTTCTGAACTTTCTCTTAGTGCTGCTGTCATGTCTCATGTATTTAAAATTACATATTGCACTGCTCACCAGGTCTGTCTTACTGAATACAGTCCTCATCCTGTTGTAAATTCTGCCTTTGGTAAGCTTAATGTTGAGTATTTGATGTGTGTGTTTTGCAGGTTTTTGGTGACATATTCAGTAAATATTGTGAGGGTGTGAATGTGTTTATAATGCTCCACTTTACTGTGTCTGCTGCATCACACAGGGATGCATGATAATATCGCCACATCAGTCAATGACTGAATATTACAGACACTGAAGAGAAAGAGTCAATATATTGGTATCAGTTATTGGCCGAGTAAGTTATATATCAGCATACTGGATATCTTACATCCCCACATCACAGTGTTACATAATGCCTGTGGTTGATGTATGATGGACGTTGTTGCCTGCAAAAGGCACATGAGGTCATGAGTGTTTCCAGAAACATTTCATCGCATGAGCAATAAACATCACTAACTTGTGACCTATCAGCAGGCCCCAAACCGAATCAGATTTTGCAGATTTTTTTTAAATGTTTTCAGCCGTGATCAAAAATAAAAATCTGTGGAATCCTGTGCCGTGCTTTTTTTTTTTTTTCTTTTCGTAATGCAATAGAAAACATTCAGTTATGATGCCAATTGTTTTTTAACAAGACCTAAAATGACCTCCAGCAGGCTGAAAGACCTGCTTAGTGGATTTTAGTCGAAACTTTGAATTTAGAAATTTGATTTAATCATGAATAATTAAAAAAAAACATTGAACGTTTGTTGGAAAAGTCGATCAGCAAAATGTGGGACATTAACATGGAAGGTTCAAAATGGAGCAGAGAGAACAAAAGTTTTTTTGCCTTATCTGTTCACAGTTAATCTGATTTTGGACATTTCTTCTCACGACACCACTAACTTTGATTTTAATGCTCACTGAATACAATACATGATCATCACACACAGCACGAGGAAGTCAAGGAAACAGTAGTGATGGCCAAATGAAGCCTCATGAAGCATTTTCTTTATTTTCTGAGCCCACTAGATGGCGCTCATGGTTTAAAGAGAGAGGCTCAAAGAATGGCAATTCGGGGTGCTTTGACCCTTTTGTTGAACAAAAAGCGCCATCTAGTGGGCTCAGAAAATAAAGAAAATGCTTCATTTGGCCATCACTATTCATCCAGGGGTGTAAATATAGACAGTGCAGACCCCTGGGGTGGGGGTGGGGGGGCTTGTAGAAAGTGGGCCCTTGCAAGTTAGTCAGATTGCCACCTTAAATATAAACCTGTGTTCAAAGAGGAATGACAAAAACAATGTTCCCAATTAAAAATGGTGCCGTTTGCTGTTTATGTGCTCAAAAAGGCAAACACATCTGCGTCATGGTTTACTTGTTACATTTTTTTCTTAAATAGTAGCTATCTAAAACAAAATTAAATGCTTTTTCTATACATAAAATCTATAAATAAACAATAGAAACTATTCAGTCTAATGATTAATCGAGACACTGGCAAAACATCCAACATGAGATTAGAAAATGTTTGGATATAAAATTACCCTCACACTCTCTGACTTCCTATTAGAAACACTACCAAGGGACGCAGAATATATCTTTTTTTTTTTTTTTACCCATTGTGTGTTTTCCTGACACCTGACCTGAGGATGGTGGGAAACAAAATTGGACATTGAAAAGCTCCCAAGCTCCACAGACTCTTCTGCAAGGCATTAATGCATGGGCTGTGTCTGTGAACGTGACGACTGCATTTAATTTGTCAAAATAAAAAGAAGCCATCTTGACATGATGTTTTTAGATGAACTGCCTCAAGAGAAGTGAGATAAAAACATGCCAAGCTGTGTGAATGTAGATGATGGGACTGTGCAGCTTTCCTGAATTTAATCTTTACTTTGTCTGCGAGTTAAAAAACAAAACAAAAAAATTATATCAACTGAGAAATTATGTTTAGCACCAAAAAAGAAAGTACTCATGTCACTTACAATGCCGCTGTAATAAAAGCGATTATATTTAAATCAGCCTTCAAAGGCTCCATATAGAGGCAACAGAGAGCTGACACAGTGACGAACAGCACTCACAGCTAATGCCCACTAGATGGCGCCATTTCATTGACAATGTCCACTTGAGTTGTTAGAAGCCAGCCAGATGCTCACATGGGCCTGACTGCACATCCACTGACTGCTTGTTCCCATGCAGGTACTTTGGGATACCGTGCCAAGAGGTTTATGAATCCCTGGTGTCACAGATCAAGAAGTGGAGAACGATGGCCGACTGCACCATGGGAGGACAGAGATGCCTATATACGGTGTGTGTGTGTGTGTGTGTGTGTGTGTGTGTGTGTGTGTGTATGCAGTGAGGACCAAAGTACATATATTAGCAACAGAGTGGGGACATTTTTGCAAAGTGAGGACATTTTTGCCGGTCCTCACTTTTTCAAAGGGCTGTTCGAGGGTTAAGACTTGGTGTTAGGGTTAAGGTTCGACTAAGTTTTTAGGTGTGGTTTAGGGTTAGGCATTTAGTTGTGATGGTTAGGGTTATGGTAAAGGGCTAGGGAATGCATTATGTCAACAAGGGTCGTCATAAAGATAGACGTACAAGAATATGTGTGTGTTTGTGTGTGTGTGTGTGTGTGTGTGTGTGTGTGCATGCTCCTGCACGTTAGTATGTTTACATGACATCAGAGAAAATCAATTTATTGTGTCAGTCTGACTAAAACCAGACTTTTAAAATCCGTGTAAACATAATAGTCTGACTGAAATCGTACTAAATCAAATTTCTCATCGTCAGACTTACACACCCAGATAATGTGATTGGGAGTGGAATCCCTCCTGCATGTGTACAGTCAATCTGACCCAAACCGGCTGAGGCACTCTGAGCATGCTCCAGTTTCTATAGTAGCTATGTAGTGATGTCCAAATGAAGCCTTATGAAGCATTTTCTTTATTTTCTGAGCCCACTAGATGGCGCTCATGGTTTAAAGAGAGAGGCTCAAAGAATGGCAGTTCAGTGTGCTTTCAACCTTTTGTTGAACAAAAAGCGCCATCTAGTGGGCTCAGAAAATAAAGAAAATGCTTCATGAGGCTTCATTTGGCCATCACTAGTAGCCAGTAGTAAACAAACTGACTGACTAGTTGAGCTGACTGAGGGACACCTGACTAACTGAAAACTCAAAAGAAGTTTTAAGTCAGCAGGAGTGAACCTGTGAAGCGTTTAGGCCTTGCTAGTGCCATTGCTCTTTGGATGTTTTTCCAAACAGCAGACTGGAAAGCTGTTACTCATATATTCCAAGTTTAACAGTGAAATGCTCGGGAGCAATGTGGCCGTCCTCTGTGTGAGTTCTGAGCTCCATCGCATCTGTCAGGACATTGCTGTTCGACCTTTGTATGCGTCTGCAGTGCTCAGCAGGGCGGAGTAAAGAGTTCAGTAACCTAACAGCCTGTGGGGAGAAAGCTGTTAGACCGTCTTTTTTAAGGTTATTTTTTGGGGCTGTTTTGCCATTAGTAGAGAGTGAAGATTGAAAAGGGAGGAGGAAGAGAAAATAACATGAAGCAAAGGGCTAAGAAACCATGACCACTGCTGAAGACTTGGCCTCCATGGGTCACACACACACCTGAAGCACCTTTGGTAGGGCTCATTGATGGTAAACGTTAGATACGGAGATGGATGAAACCTTCTGTCAGTACTCTGCATTTACTTTGTCTGTATTTGTGCACGTTTTCTAAAAGCTTACAGAAACAGAGCAGTATGACCAGAGACTGTGGGGGCAGTGTAGCGTAGAGACGACCACCGGAGATGAAGAACTTTAAATATAATGGTTTAAGAGAACGAGTTGGTCGTCTAGTGGAAATGATGCTCTGCAGAGTCCTGCACAGGTCCATTTTTGAAAAGTACCGCCCACCCATACCCGTAAAGATCAGTAACTCCACGACGGTGACGAATGTGACTCTGGATGGTATAATGAGGTCTGCTCGGTTGAGGGGCTTCACCAAAAACCACAGAAAACTTAAGATAATTTCTGTCAGGAGGAGTTTGATCAGTTGAAACAATACAATTGATCAATTAAATTTTATGTCCCTGGCTTTTAATCAGAACCATGTGTTTCTTCCACAGCTGCAGTCTGCCTCCATCCACTTTATAGCAGCCAAACACACCACTCCCTTTAAGAAGTATGTGGACGACATCAACTTCAGGCTGGCCTCCTATCACTTCTTCACTTGCTGTCACGTTTCGGTAGGTTTTCACTCTCCTCTAATTCATGATCTGACAGTTTCTGGAAAACCAAACCAGCTAAATGTCCATCGTCATCCCACCACTGACAACAAATGAAAATAATGGTTCCTCTCAGGGTGTCTGTCCTCTCTGTACTGCCTTCTCTTCTCTTTCCTCATATCTCTTCCTCCTCTTTTAATTTCTATCACATCATCTGTTTCTTGTCTGTCTCAGAGTGTATCGTAGGAATGTGATCTGCAAAGGTCCAGAAAGCAGGTAAATAAACGCCATGTTTTTGGTTAATCTTAGTTTTTATTGTTTGATGGAATCATTTAAGTAAGGGGAGAACTTAGGCCGCTTTCCAACTGTGTCGGCTCAGTGTCGACACACACTTCACTATTGTAATCCTAGGTATTCTTTTTCTTCTTCTTCTTCTTCTTCTTCTTCTTCTTCCGAGGAAATCATACTTCCCATGGGTGAAAACTCACCAAACTTTGCACAAAGGTCCAGTCTCATGTCAAATATCCTCAGCTGTAAACTCAAGCCAATAGTCCTGATGGTGGCGCTACAGCAAGTGTCTAAAGTTCAAAATTTTGAAAATTCATAACAAATCAACCATACATGCTACAGCTTCACAACTTTCATCAAACTGTAGCCCCAATACTGAAGAAACTTTTGTACATTTAAACCTATTAAAAATTATGAAGTTCATCACTCTGTTTTTTTCAAAAACTGTAAAACTTCTTAAACCTATCTCCTCCCACAATTTTTGCTCAGTTGACACCAGACTTGCTACAGAGCATCTTCAGACTGTCATACACAAACTATGTTTCTCAGATTTTTGATTTATCAAAAATTGAGCCTACAGTGCATCAAAATGTTTGACTGTAAATGGTACTGTAAACATATACATGCAAATTCTTGCTAAATAAATCTTCAATGTTCATGAAAAAATGACAAAATTCTAGAGTCATGGTAGATGATGTGTGGCAAATTTCAGAACTTTATCTCAAAAACTGAATTTTTGACAGCATTTTGAATTTTGCTCTAATGTGAACAATTGGAGTCAATGTAAAAATGTCAATTTTAAACATCAGTTTTTCACTTATGGAGCAAATCAATTACTGTTACAAACAAATTACCAACATCTCCATGCTGTCTAGATGCAATATGTGTATTTTCAGATTTTTGTTTCGATAACTGAATTTTTTACAGTAGTTTGAAATCTGCTTTTCCATGCATGGACGGCTGCTAAACCTGCACGTCTGGCTTAGTCAATTTCAGAATCAGAATCAGAAATACTTTATTGATCCCTGAGGGGAAATTATTTATGTTACAGGTGCTCCTTGCAAGAAAGGAAAGATACGTGAAAATATAAGAAATTTAAACAGTAGTATTTACAAATATATAGTTAAATAAACAGGAATTATTAACAAACATAAACGGAAATAAATAAATATATATATATATATACATTGTAAGTTGAACAAGATTATTTACACAAACAGAATATATACAGTCAGGGTGAAATGGGGTTATTGCACAAGTTACATTGGATTATTGCAGTGTGTGTGGAAAAAGTCTCAGGGCTACTCAGAGGGAGGAGTTGTACAGTTTGTGAAGCTACACATGAATTGTCACTGACTAATTAGCTCAGTGAGATAGAAATTGATTCTTAGTCTCAGAGGTTGTGAGTTCAAGCCTCAGCTGATGCAAAAGGCATTGTGTTGCTAAATTCCTAAATGTCTTCCAATTCTTCTGCTTGTTGCTCAGAATTGCCTAAAAATGCCCGGACCCGCTGCGCAGCAGCTATAATTTCTAATTGCAGTTTGATATTTGGCAGTATGGCTCTGTTCTGGGAGAGAGAGCAAATCTCCCTGGCCTTCCATGTGCCTCCATGGAAAGCCTAAGGCAGGGAGAGCAGCATCAATGACAGACAGAAATGACACATCATGAAAAGGAGGAGCTGGGGTGGAGGCAGGTTGCAAAGCAGCTTGCAGAGGAAGCAGCAACAGTAGGCAGGCCAGATGTGCCAGGTGTTGGTGATTGGACCAGAGAAGACGTTAGCAGTAAAGCTATCATGTTGTAGTCAATGTATAGTGTATCTTTCAGCTTGTCCACCTAAATAAAGCATGATGCAGCTCCTTAAGACCAACGTAAAGTTCCTGTGTCTTGTTTCCCAGCTGCTGGTAAGGTCATAGAGTAACACAAATCGTTTCCTGTCCACTGTGCGTTGGCATGTGACTGAAATAGGACAATAACTCTTTAAATGAGTAATCCAGAACAACAGATTGTTACAAACTTCAGGATTATATTGTTGAACTTAGTAATGAATGTCATTATGGCATTTAATTGGTTTCACAAAAAAAAAACAGGTCAGGTTTAAGTCTGAAATTCTCGAGATCCAGATTAGTTAAAAAAACAATCACGCCTTTCATGGTATCTGTCATTATTCCTGCTCCTGTCTCTTTCTGTCTTTGTGTTTCTTACTCTGAGTCTGTGCAGCCTTATCTTGCATATAACCCCTGTAGTGTATCTATAATTCTGTCTGTAGGCCATGTCCGTCTCGGAGACCTGGTATGCCATTAAAGACCACGGCACCAACTACTGCAACCTCTACAACCTTATAGAAGGTAAGATCAGACGGTCCTTCCATCCAGTTTGCACTGGTGACTTTACTCGAGCTAAGAAACCCTGCTGCACTCCACACCCTCCCCTTGGACACCTTTGGAGATGCCGTTGAAATATAGTAAAAAAAAAACATTTTCTAAGAAGGTTTTCTTTCATTTATTATATTCATTGTTTATTTTGATGTGATTTTGGCCTCTTTGATCCATGCTTGCAGATATCAACACAGAGGTGGCTTGATTTGTATTTTGAAAATGTTACTTCAGATTTGACAAATTGATGCCAGTGGAACTTTTTAAATGTTGGTCTCATATTTGAATAAGAGCGCTTAACAGGTACACAAAATCTAAAATGGTTACTGGGAAATAATGAGGAACTAACTGTTAGTCAATGACCAGTTCTTGAGTAACTCCCTGTCATAAAGGAGCAAATCAGTACTTAGTGATCACCGTAAAACTCCCATTAATTAATAAAACACCCAGTCCCTTTTACAAATAAAGGCTTGTCTCAATAATTTCTATAGGAGTTCTTTGGATGTATAAAACCAGGTTCTTGGCTACCTACTAGAGCTAATGTTAGATAGCTGTTCAGATTGCATATGCAACTCAAGGCAATTGAACCGAACGCAGCTGGACTTGGTTTTGTCTTAGAAGACGTTTCACCTCTTATCCAAGAGGCTTCATCAGTTCATGTTTGTCTGACTAGGCTGGAACTAGTCTGACAAACTGGTGTGGAAACAACCCAGGTATTTAACCTCTGGGGAGGTCTTCACAAGGCCAATGATGTCACTGGTTCGTCGAGATAACTATGATCTGGATGAATGAGAATATCCACAGGCATTGCATATGCAGATATAAATGTTCAAACCTTGTCAATATGGAGATGCTACACATCGTTGGCTTGGTTAGATTCTCCACAATTCAATAATTCAGTTCATTTTCAGAAACCACGGGCACCAGAGGAGACTGTAATTCATTCAGATTTACCGGCATGACGAACGACAAGCGGTGACTCCATAACATCAGAACATGTGTCCATTCCTCAATTACCCAGTAATTTATTCATATTCCTTTTGTCAGTAAGAGTCCTCAGATTAAAAAGAATCAAAAGGGTTTTTCATAAGAATTAATCCAGGTTGTTTTAACAGGATAAAAAGGTGTGTCGGTATGCCAGGTGCTGTAATCCTTGAGTGCCCTCTCTGATGCGCTGTCTGTCGCAGCTAGATCAAATAAATGATTTGTAATTGATATATTATTCAAAGCCTTTTTTTTTTTTATACAAGAAACATCCTCTTCAGACCCCAGCTTTTGTTTGGTATGCGCTTTCAATTTCTCCCAGCTGTTAAGGATTAGAGTTCAGACCGGCCAGTTCACACAGCTGCAGCTTTCTAAAACGGTTTCGTCTCATCGTGAATCTTTGGTCTGAACTGGACTTAAAAGTTAAACAGTCCCAATTTATCATCATGTCAGTCTTTGTTTGTGCACTGTCAGACATTTAAAAATCTAATAAATGAATGAAACTAATAAGAAGATGTATCGGGATATTCATTAGAAAGAAGTATGAAAAATATGTTTTAAAACCCATCACTGAGGCAGCTGTGAGAGAGGAGAAAACACTCTTTGTTAATATATTTAAAACTCTGTGTACATGTGCTGTCATGTCTACATGAAGCCAGAAGGGACACTTTTATAAAATCTCTTTTGTCTGAACCACAAAAAGTCATTACTTGTGATAAGGCCAGCAGTATTACATTTCCCATGTGTGTAACTGCCATTGAAGCATCCAGGATGATTACAGTTCTTTTCTTCGTCTGTGGACACACGCTCCTCATACCTCTTTCTCCTTTCATTCATTCAACAGGAAGTGGTCTAACAGAAGCCAAAGGTTATAGAGAGGTCACCAGTGACTTCCTGTGTACCCAACGCTCCTCTGCTAACTGCACCGTCTACTGACTCAGTATTTATGTATAGTATACCAAGAGTCATCACTTACAGTTTTGATTGTCTTTTAATGGCTGGAAAAAAAAACATGACATTATCTGTTTGCTACAGATGTACAGTCTGTTTTCTTTATGCAACAAATACATATTGAATACACTGAAATATTATCCAGTGTAGTCTGAACAGTTATATTCTCACTATATATCACTCTCTAATTTATACAGCTACATTTGGATTGCTGTTTTTTATTTTATTTTACTGGTTTTATTTTACTTCAAACCATATGGCTCCATCTATTTGAACTGTTTTTTATTGTGTAAAATAAATTGTGATAACTAAACTATAGATGCTGATGATTTCCCCTCAACATTCCCAGCAACACTCATCATTACATCAACATTTTGTGAATTACACACTAAGAGAGGGAGTCGTTTATATCTCATAGGGATTTCATATATGGGACTGTAACAGTTTATGGTCACCTGCTCACTAATGCCTGCCCAGTCACCCAGCTCCCATTCAGTAATTTTCCATTCACCCTGGTTTCCTGCGCCTCAGCATCAGTCACGTCCGCCTCATCAAGGCCACTCAGTTCACCTGTTCCTCATTATTCAAAGCTGGTATATATACTCCAGCCTCACCGACACTCTGTGCCAGATTGTTCTTCACCTCTCATGCAAGACTTCACAGCACTTTCTTCCAGACTGATTTCCAATTGCTGACCCTTTCTGCCTCTGACCCACCTGTCCAGTCTGATCTCTGGTAAACACTGTCCCTTTGTCCCCAACCTTGAGATCTGCTTCCCTGTCTTTGGTTCCTGTTTGCCTGTGGCTGCTTGGTGTTACCATCCAAAGACAACCCTGTCCTATCTGTTGACCTGTGGTTTCCTGTGGCCCAGAGAATTTCACTGTATCACCACACTCACCATTGTGTGTGCATCCTGTGAGTTCTCACCTGCTGGCTTCTTGATCCTCTGCCTGGCCTTGACCTTCCTTCAGCCTGTGCCCTACTGGTTCATCTGCATGGACTGTGTACTTACCTGGTTCCAGATTTACTGTCTCCATGACTACGTCTCCTTCCTCCTCATACATGGTACTGTTGCCTGTATTGAAGTGTGTTTGGCCAAATGTCACCACCCATTAACCTGCTTCCCGGCCTGGTTTGGCTTGATTAACCTCTGTGGGACTTTGTGTAGAGACTTTGGCCTGTACCTGCTGATTTCACTGCAGCTGTTCCTGGTTTCCTGTGTGCTGCATTTGGGTCCTAACACAACCCGTTCCAGGGACTCAGTTTGGACAAGAAACAAGAAGCAGGCACTGACAATGTCAACCTTATAATACCAAGCTACAAGGAAGAAATTCGAGGGTCAAGAAAAGCAGCAACTACCAAACTATCTGTTCCAACATAAATCAGCGCAAAACCGGCAGTTATCAGTGAAGTAAACACATTAGCTAAGGGGGTCATGCCACGTTTTTTCACAATCAAATTCATTGTTTCTAATGTAGACGTGCAGCAGACACGCTCAAACACCAGAGCGATGCCAGAGCAACACGCATGTGCTCCCAAGCGCCTATTTTTCAGGGTGCAATGGCTAAAGATAAACTGAGTTAAACTTTCGCCGCCTGTGATGTGACAAGGACCAACCAATCACAGCCGACAGAATATCTTTCCTTCCGTCCGTAGATATCAGTCTGTGATATATATGGAGAAGAAGTTGAACATTTTAGTTCAGAGCTGTCAGAGCTTTACATCTGTCCCACAGACAATAGACCGACACATAAACAACGCCTGGAAGAAGATCAGCTCTGCACTCAGGATTTCAGGTAAATATGCCATGACACCTGGCGTCACACTCGTGAAAGCTGGCACGGAGAAGTTACAAGAGTAGCACCCAGTGTGGTTAAAGGTGCAGCATATGTACGGCCCCTTAAAGGGATAGTGCACCCAAAACTGAAAATTCAGCCATTATCTACTCACCCATATGCCGAGGGAGGCTCAGGTGAAGTTTTAGAGTCCTCACATCACTTGCAGAGATCCAAGGGGAGAGGAGGTAGCAACACAACTCCACCTAATGGAGGCTGACGGCGCCCCAGATTCAAACGTCCAAAAACACATAATTGAAACCACAAAATATCTCCATACTGCTCGTCCGTAGTGATCCAAGTGTCCTGAAGCCCCGACATAAAAAGCTGTTTGGAAAAACCTCATTTGAACTCTGTTTTTAGCCTCATTGTAGCCTGTAGCTCTGACTGCCTCTCTGGGCACCGCCTTCATGTGTGTTCGCGTGCTTTCACTGGCCTTGCGCACAAGCGCACACACGTGAGTGCGGTGCCCAGAGAGGCAGTTAGAGCTACCTCCTCTCCCCTTGGATCTCTGCAAGTGATGTGAGGACTCTAAAACTTCAGCTGAGCCTCCCTCTGCATATGGGTGAGTAGATAATGGCTGAATTTTCATTTTTGGGTGCACTATCCCTTTAAGGAAATGTGACACGTAATTTCTAAAACAGTTGTCAGCCCTAAGCATGATGGGAAATGGGGTCCATCACTGCAATATGGTGTTCTTTTGCAGGTTTGAGCTCCAACAGCTCCACGTGAAAAAATATAGGTTTGTGTCACATCATTAACAATCAAGCTCAAATTCATTTCTCCATGTATAAAGAACAGAGCCCAGCACCTGTGTTCATAAATGATCATCAGTCTTCCTGGTTCATGACCACAAACTCACCATGTATTATTTTCCAGGCTGTGCTGTGGCTCTGTCCGTCCACTAACAGCCAAATAAAGACTGAAACATCATTCTGGGTCTGGAGTCACCAGGTGAAAGTTTGATGATGTCCTCTGTCTTTCTTGTTTGTTCTGGGCCCTTGGTAAAAAACAAGAGCGAAAAAGAAAACAGCACACACCAACAGAGAGCCACTCAGAGTGAATATAGCTGTGGATACCGCTCAGAGGTGAGTCGCAGTCTGACGAGGGGCATCATTCTTTCTGACACCTAAACCAGTTTTCGCTCTTAAAAATGATGGTGGAGTGAGGAGGGCGGAGGGAGCCACCAAGAGAAAATACACCCATAGCTGCGTGTGGATTGCAGGGCAGCTTTTATTAAGGGGAGCAATATGCTCAGCTGGGCTTTGCCATCCATCACTAAGACTCGCCCCCCCTCACACTGTGGCTGGAGCACGTGGACTTTGGTGCCTCTTTTTACAGGGCTGAGCAAGTGACTGGCAGACACCTGTAACATCCTACACAACCTGCACTGTATCACAACAGAATGGCTGCAAGGCCCATATCAAATGATGAAATGAAGACATGTCTTTTATCCTGTAGTTCTGTACATTTAAATCATTTTAACAAATTACTGATAACAAAAAAAATGTCCATAATAACTGAGGTGTTACAATGATGCTATAATGATGATAATCCTGTCTTGTTAATGTCCTGACCTCACTGCACTACATTTAGAAGAAAACTTTATTAATCCCAGACAGGAAATTAAATTTTGTCAAATACACACACATGCACAAACAGGAGCTATACATGCATTAAATGGAGAGATGTCAGAGGGGGGTGCTCTCAGCAGTTGGGGGTTCAGTACCTTGGCCAGTGGCGCCTCTCCAGCTACCAGTACACCCATACCTTGTCTGTACAGGGACTTGAGCTGCTGAAGCTCCTTTCCAGACCCATGTCCCTATGCACTGAGTTACTGCTGCTAGTGATGGCTAAATGAAGCCTCATGAAGCATTGTCTTTATTTTCTGAGCCCACTAGATGGCGCTCATGGTTTAAAGAGAGAGGCTCAAAGAATGGCAATTCAGTGTGCTTTCAACCTTTTGTTGAACAAAAAGCGCCATCTAGTGGGCTCATAAAATAAAGAAAATGCTTCATGAGGCTTCATTTGGCCATCACTAACTGCCGCCCCTCCGGACATAATGATGCCAGACGATGTTGTATTTGCATCTTTACCACGAACAGTTGTGTTTACTGCCTTACGTCTGATTCATGTTTAATTCTTGAGTCTTTTTGGGAGAATATTAAAAAAAAAAAAAAAAAAAGTATCACCAGTGCAGTGGAAGTCAATCTACAACCCTGGGCCAAATCTGGAGTAGAGTGCTGGGTGGCCGCCCGGACGTTTTTCTAATTCACAGTAAGAATATATTGATTCACACTGGATACATCAAGCTGCCTTTACACTGCCACACAAACATGAAAGTCCGCCATGATGAATTTTGTAGTTATTTGCATAAAGTGAAATAAAGTAAAATGAAAGAACTGTTTTTAAAAAAAAGTTGATTCTATCAGCACCAAATCTGGTATACAGCATTACGGCAGTAACTGAGCAGGAGTGGTCATAAAGCAGGGCGTAGCGGTAAATCAGCCATGAATGACAATTGATCAAATCATCATGAATTTAATCTTTATAGCCATTTCCAGTGTGTGTTGGGAAAAAGGTGAGCCAAACCAGTTTGCGCCTGACCTATAGGGGGCACTACATATGCCAAAAATGTGTACCTAAATGATTGGTGGACAGAATTTCACTAAATTTGGTGCACATGCTTTGGGGCCAAGTATTAACCAGAGCCTGAAGTGCCAGGATGGTTAGGGCATGCGGGTGTCGCCTGTATATCTTTATCTAATTTTCATATCTTTGCTCAATTTGTTGTCAACTGGAATGAGCATGAGACATGAGACGTGGCACCAACTTGGCCACGCCCTTCAGACCGTGAGTCAAAATGACTAGAAACTGAACTCTCACCTGCAGCGCAGTGTCCGCTACAAAAAAGCCCCCTGGACAATTGAGCCCAAAATGGCCAATTCTTTGCTAATTATTAATGTGAAAAACAGACTATTTGGGATTTTTACTGTATCAACACCAAACTTTGTATTTGGCATTGTGGGACACCTTTTTTTAGTCTGTCAAAAAACATGGCCACCATCAATGACAAAACTTTCGTCAAGGAAAATCCATCCATCCATCCATCCTGTTCTTATTCCTCTTTGTCAGTGATTTCAGCATCAGCCACTTGAAGCCAAGAGCCACCATTTACGGCGGTACGATCAGTTTTTTTCATGGCTGGACGAGACCTGTTGCGGCAGTATGATATGCCACTGGATTGTGTCCAGTTGAAACGCTGCCAGTTATGACATCAAGAGCTGGAACGTCCTCGTAGGGTGGGCAGGAGGGGGGGTGGATAGTGATGGCCAAATGAAGCCTCATGAAGCATTGTCTTTATTATCTGAGCCCACTAGATGGTGCTCATGGTTTAAAGAGAGAGGCTCAAAGAATGGCAAT